AAGTGTACATCTCACCCAATAGGCCAATCAACAGACTATTTTTGCACAAATGCATACCCCGAAATAAGCTTTTTGGTTTTTAACAGCCATTTAAAAAGTTCCTGAATGTCATCATCGTATTCTGGTTGATTGTCGGCATCATATTTACTCCAACAAATTTTCTCCACCCAATCATCAAGCCAACAAATTCCACAATCTTATGGAACAGCAACAATGAGTTACGCAAAACAAAATAAAATAAAATAAGAAAGTGCTTCAACTTACCATATACCGATATAATGGCAGTGTCGGATTTACGCTGTCCCATCAAATTTCGTGCAACACAGTAGTATCTGCCCTCATCTGCTAACGAAACCGGTGTGATCAGCAATGAATCGTCGTTTGAATAAATTATATGTCCCTCCTGACTTCGTTCAACAATTTTACCATCTTTATACCATATTATCTGAATTGCAATCGGGTGATTAGAAAACACTCATTATTACAGATGCTTTAAACATCAGTGAATAAACCATAAACTTTTGGTGCAGATTACAATAAGTTAAAAAGCTAAAAAGTTTATACTGATTTACCTCAGGTTTTGGTACAGCATTTGGGGCAATACATCTTAATTCACCAGATTCACCTTCACGAAACGACTGACTGTACGGAGATTCAGTGAATTCATTAAGCATATCTAAACGGGTTGAAACTGTAGGGTTTTTTTCCTTACAGTTCGATGTAACCAAAGAGAAGATGTGAAAAAAAGCTATAGTGCATCAAGTCAAATGTACTTTTTGACATGTGAAAAAAAAGTTAATTTTTAAGTTAATGAGATCGACCAAATAGCAGGGATAAGGGCAAAAAAGAAAGCAAAACAACCCACAAAGGATTTGTCTGGTGAATTTGAATAAAATACCAGCAAAAAAAAGAAAGAAAGAAAAGCAATTGATAAATTACTAAAGAAGATGAAAAAAAAAGCGGATATAATTCAATTAAACAACAACAGTTTGTCTTTGGAATGTCTTAATGCTTCTTTTTTCTGTTCGTTTTCTAGTTCAGTTACCGTTAAAAGTTAAAAAACTAAGTAGTTATGAAGCCACCAAAAACAGAACTGTGAGTTAACAGATACAGTTTAATTGTTGGTTATAAAAAGACGAAAAAAAAAGAAGTTGAAAATGAAATATTTTTAAAGACAAAATTTTTTTGCTGTTGTATATTTTTCTACAAAAAATAATTAAACAAACACTGTCAAAAACTTTTGAGAAGAATTTTTGTACATAATTAGGAAGGAATTGTTTGATTTGCTTCATATTACTTCTTGTTCTTTTTTTTTTTTTT